GGTTGCAAACCTAACTGAATAGTAACTGTCTTAGTTACTCCTCTACCGCTGTGATAAAGATTGTGACCAAAAGCAAGTTGGGGAGGAAAGAGTTTATTTGGCTTTTACATCCCAGGTCACAGTGCATTGAGGAAAGCCACAGCAGGAACTCAGGGTAGAACCCTAGAGGCAGGGGCCAAAGCAGACAGAGGCCATGGAGAAGTGCTGCTTACTGGCTTGCTCTCCATGGCTTCCTCAGCTTGCTTTTGTATACACCTCAGGATCACCAGATCAGGGATGACACCACCCACAGTGGGCTGGGCCCTTCCATGTCAATCACTAACCAAGAAATGATCTACAGATTTGTCTACAGGCAATTGAGATGGAGGCATTTTTCTCAATTGAGGTTCCTTTTCCAAGATAACTCTAGCTTGTGTCAAGTTAACAATAACCTAACCTGGACAACTATGAATTTGTAAGTAATAGAGCGCAGTATTTTTGTGCATAATTGTGTGTGTGTGTGTGTGTGTGTGTAGTGGGTTGTAAAGTTTGTTTTTTCAAGACAGCGTTTCTCTGTGAAGTCCTGGCTGTCCTAGAACTTGATCTGTAGACCAGGTTGGCCTCCATCAAACTGAGATCTGCCTGCCTCTGCCTCCCTAGTGCTGGGATTAAAGGCCTGTGCCACCACGGCCTGCCTTTCTTATTGAGGGTCATAGTCAAGAAAATGTAAGAGCTCTTGCTTTAGGGAGATTTAATTGGAAAAGGATGAATGAGGGTACTGAGGAGGCTGAGGGATTAGAGGAGAAGCTGCAGGAAGGGAAAGAGGGGTGGGCTTGAGAGACTGTTGGTGGAGGAGGCTCAGGATGGGGCCCTTGTTGGATGTAAGGTTGAGGGAGGAGAACGAATTAGTCAATGTGATTAAGTCAAGTGGGTTCTTGGGAAAATGCTAATGTCTCTACCATGGGAAAGAGTTGGGAAAAGTGTGCTAATGTGAGAACCAGCGTAGAAGGCTGACAGAGGCACAAACTATTTCAAGGCCAGTTAGGGCCCAGCCTCAGATGGGATACAGAGATAGTTGAGATGAGGATGGGAACTCCCAGACCTGTAGGCAGGTTTGGAAGAACCAGCTTGGGTTGACAAGGTCCCAGAGAGTAACTTCAGTAATTTCCTTCTCAGATTCCTCTAGGCCTAAAGCTTCTAGAACATTCTCTCCCCACCTCTCTTGTACTCTCCTATTCCTACCACAAGGGCATGATTGCTGTCTAGTTTGCCACCACTATTATTTCTAAGGCTATTATTATGTCCACCTTTAGTTACCAACAGCCTTACCCGAGTTGTTTAATAATTTTTTACCTCAGTAGTTAGACCTGTCATTATTCCAACTTTACCGGGAAAGAACTAGAAACTTGGTGATATTAAAACAGGAAAACTACTTGGCCAAGTTCACACAGCAAGTGACAAAGTTGGGCTATGAATCTAGATAATAGGACTTCTTGGTCACTTGATCACTCTTAGGTGTCTTGGTGAGAGGCACCTGTTTCGGTCCACTCCCTTGATTCCTTCTGAGAGCTTTCAGGGGCTTTGCCAGTTTTATCTGGAAAGTCACCATCCCTGTCTCTCACAGCCTACAGGGTAGGATGAGGAAGTCATCAGCTCTGGTTTTCCAGGAGGGACCACACTGGGTTGTGCTAGCTCTGCATGTGTAAAAATGCAGCTTATGTCAAAACCACTTCCCCAGTTTGTACTATGGTGAGGACCTCTCAGGCACTTCTCCTCTCTCCTCCGCAGGCCCCTGTCCTCCACAGCTACTTTTGCTTGTCTCTCTGTCCTCTCTCACTTCTAAAGTCTTCCCTCTCTCCATAGATCACTTAACATCCCTGTAAGAATGTCACATCCCTGTTCAGTGTGGAATGTTACATCCCTGTTCAACAATGTAGAATGCCACCTACCCACTTGTGAAGACTGGATCACTCCTCAGTCCAACTTTAGACATCATAGAAACTCTCTGAACCTACTCTTCCAGGCTCTGAAGGCCCAGCCAGTATCCCAGGACATAAACACCTTCCAGACTGATCACCATCATATGATGGGCACATCAGTCCCTGTGTCTCCCACAGGCCTCTGCAGCTGGCTCAGTTGATTGACCTGAGCCCTATTGGGTGTTAAGCAAGACTTGCCTAGCTCACCAGGTGGCTCCAAGCAGGCTGCTTCATGATGACTCACGTCCTCAAGTGCAAGCCTTCATCTTGATTTCAGGAAATGACGTCTGAACATAGTCTAATACTCTCGGTGTGGTTTAGAAAAACAAAAGAATAGCTGGAGAGATAGCTGAGCAGATAAAAGCACTGGCTGCTCTTCCAGAGTTCCTGAGTTCAATTCCCAGCAACCACTTGGTGGCTCACAACCATCTATAATAGGATCTTATGCCCTCTTCTGGTGTGTAGGTATACACACAGAGCACTCATACATAAAATATAAATAAATAAAAATTTTAGCCAGACAGTGGTGGTGTACACCTTTAATCCCAGCACTCGGGAGGCAGAGGGAGACAGATCTCTGTGAGTTCAAGGCCAGCCTGGTCTACAGAGTGAGTTCCAGGACAGCCAGGGCTACATTGTGAGACCCTACCTAAAAAACAGACAAGAAAGCCAACAGCCGATGTAAGACCATCCAGTCACAGCTGTCTGTCTTCTTTATCTCTCATCCTTCATCCTCCTACTCAACACCTGACCCACCATTTGGTACCCTAATCCTTGGAGTTCAGATTAGTTGGATCCCCTGGAGCTGCTGGAGTTACATACAGTTGTGAACTGTCATGTGAATCCTGAACCACCAAGTCCAATTTGTGCTGCTCATATATTTTTAGATGTGACACCTTCCACTGGAGTGTGGTCTACTTACCAGAGGCTACACTCTTTTTAAAAATCCAGACCCATGTGTTCTGGAAAGCATCACCTGTGTTCTTAACTGCTGAGCCATCTCTCTAGCTCATGACGCTAATTTTAAAATGTTAAAGAAATGACTCATTTGTATATATTTTAAGTTAACATTTATTCTACATTCACTTCTTTTTTTAAGGATTTTATTTATTTATTTATTTATTTATTTATTTATTTATTGTGTATACAACATTCTGCTTCCATGTATATCTGCACACCAGCAGAAGGCACCAGATCTCATAACAGATGGTTGTGAGCCACCATGTGGTTGCTGGGAATTGAACTCAGGAGCTCTGGAAGAGCAGTCAGTGCTCTTAACCTCTGAGCCATCTCTCCAGCCCCTTCACTTCTTTTTTTTTAACCTTACAATATTAGTTCTTTACTATTTCATCTTTAAGAATTTTGTACAATCAATGTGCTGTGATCATCACTGTGTTGTGACCAACTCCTCCAATACCCACCCTCTCTCTATCATACAACTTGACCTCCTCTTTTTTCTTTTTCTAACCACCAAGTCCAATTTGTGCTGCTCATATATTTTTAGATGTGACACCTTCCACTGGAGTGTGGTCCACTTACCAGAGGCTACACTCTTTTTAAAAATTACACTTGTTTAGCGTGTGTGTGAAGTCAGTTCTCTGCTTCTACCACATGGTTCCTGGAACACAAACTCAGGTGGGCAGGCTTGCTGGAAAGTCCCTTTACCCACCGTCCATGTCATCAGCCCAGGAGACTACACTCTTGAAGAAAACTCTCTCTCTCTCTCTCCAAGCTGCTAACAATCCCCAGCTCCTCAGCTGGGGTGGGACACATCCCCACCCCTCCTCTCCATGCTGGGATTTGATCTAGCTTGAGCTTGCCCATGCCTTCTGCATACTGTCATCACCACTGCAAACTCACATTTGCAGCTAGTATTTACTTCTTACATAGTCAACTTATGTGAAAAATCTGGTTTTGGTCAACTCTAAAATTGAAATAATCAGGCATACCATTGCAACCTTACGTCAAACTCTGTACTTAATTTACTTCTTTATAATTTTTTTTGTTACAGGTGGGGGTGTAGCTCAGTGGCAGAGTGAGTGTCCCAGGAAGTATGGGGTCCTAGGTTCAATCGTGGCAACGGCCAAAGAAAAATATTAATTTTAGTTACAAAAAGCTATTTATTTATTTATTTATTTCCTTTTTTGAGACAGGGTTTCTCTGTATAGTCCAGCTGACCTGGAACCTGCTTTGTCGACCAGGTTGGCCTCCAATTTAGAGTGCTGGGATCAAAGGTGTGTGCCACCACTGCCCAAGAGAATATTTTTAAAGCATCTTACCTTGTCATCAGTGTATTCCTTAAATTGATTCAGGTTTGTAAAAGCAAAACCTGGGACCACATGTTGGAAAAAGAACCGACTTTTGAAAGTTATCTTGTAATCTATACATACACTTTGCTGTGGTTATACATCTAAACACACACACACACACACACACACACACACACACACACACA